GACGGGGCCCGGGGTCCCCCTGCCCAGGCACCCTCTGCGCCAGGACGAGATCCTGGACTTGACCTACAGCCCTCCCAGCAACAGCATTCCCGACGTGGTGATGAACCCAGAGCCTGGTGCGTTGTGCTTCCCCTCGGAGCCCGTTCTCCAACCACACCAGCAGCACAGGTTACCCTTTGGCTTCAGCCACCCTTCTGCCTTCAAGAGCCCGGCCCCTGTCCTGGAGGGGAACATGCCTCTGAGCTCCTCGCTGCATGAACACCTGCCTCTGCCTCACCCAGGACCCTTGCAGACACTGCAGCAGCAGCAGGAAGATTTTGTCCAACAGGATGGGAATATCAATTTTAGAGAGATCCTGGAGGACATGCTAAGGACGTTAAATGGGGCCCCCCAGGAGAACATACTCCCCCAGGAGCGCCAGAGTGTGATCCAGTTCAGTGGGCCTTTCCCAGAGTTCTGAAAGCCGGCTGGGCACGCCAGGTGATGCTTGGCTGCTGTGGATCCATATCCTTTGGTGCAGAGGTGAGAGCTGGGGAGCCCCAGCTTTTCTACTGGTTTGGACTGACCCTTTTCTGTTTTTGAGGGAAGAAAAAAAACCCTATAGTTCCTTAAAGAAAAGTTTATTTATGTATAATATACAGTCAGGCATGTATAGATTTGTATATAACATGCGCTTGGGGCGACTTGAGTGCTGCCAAGTTCAGCTGATCTGGACTGATGGTCTCTGCTGTGTTCGAGTCCTGCTCAAAGGTCAGTGCCCGTGTAGGACTGAGGAGAGACGCCCCCTCCTCTGTGCCCGTCCCCCTGCAGACTACTGAGTTTCCAAGCTGGGTGGTGCCTTCCCCAGCCCTCCAGCCCAGACAGCTGGTCCCCCCAAGAGCTGGCTGACCAAACTGTGTCTGCATTGGCTGCTGCCAGCTTTCCTCTTGGGCTGCCCCAGCCCTGCTGTGGGCCTTGAGGCTGCTCTGGAGGGCTGGGTCGGAAGGCAGGGGTGAAGGGGAAGGGAATGCTCTCCCAGAGGAGTCAGGAGCCACTGAGCTCAAGTGTCCCTCTGTGCAGGGCTGAGCAGGCGTGGCTGAGAGAAGCAAAACTGACTGTGCCTGCTCTGCCCTTCCCAGGAAGGGACAACGACACCTCTGGGGCTGCCTGAGCTCCGCAGGAGAGGGTGGGAGCTGGCTGCACCCGTGCCTCGTTTGTCAGTATCGTGGCAGAGCTTGTGAGTTTGTCAGAGCTCAGCCACACCGGGACCACGGGGAGATTCCCCAGAGCAGAAGGGCTGCATGTCCCATCAGCCTGTCCTGCACTTTAGCCTCGCAAGGTCGCTGTGGCTGGCCGTGCTTTGTCCATCTTCCTGCTATCGTGTGGTGTCCTTTCACCTGGCCATCTCACCGGCCCTGTTCTGTAGGGCTTGTCCTTGTCTGGGCCGTGGACGCAGGCCCGGGTGTCTGGATTTGGGCGACCCAGCCCTGCCCACCGCTGACCTCGGTGAGAGCTGCTCCCAGGCCCCAGAAGGGAAGAGTTCCCTGGTGAGCGCTGGGGATGTGCGATATCGCTGCTCACGCTGCAAATTCAACCTCCAGTACCAAAGAGCAAAGGTCTGTTTTGCAAAGCACTGCCCCAGACAACGCACTGCCCCTTGGCCAGGAGCGGCTGGGCGAGCTGCCTTCTCCCCAGGACAAAGGTAGCCTCCAGCCACCTTTGCCACCGTCCCTGTTCCAGCAGCATCTCACCTCGGCAGGTCCCGGGGAAACTGTCTTTTGTTCTTTCTCTTTAATCTAAGGAGTCTGGCAGGAAGCTGCCTGCTGGCTGGAGTGCTCCAGGCCTGGCAGCTCCTCCACAAGCCTCCCCTCTGCTGTGTTTCTTTTCTCTGCCTTGAGTCATCGAGGTATTTCCTAGAAGTGGCACCAGGATGTTTTCAGGGGAAGGACACGAGACCTTCCCTGGCTGGCCCGGCCCTTCCTCGGAGAGGACCTGGGGAAGGGAGGTCCAGCCAGGAGAGGCCTCTGCTGGGGTCCCCCCCATGCCCTGACAGGTCAGTCTTGAGGGGGCTGAAGCTTTACAGTGCCTGGTTGAGTCCCCTCCTCCAGGCAGAGAGCCTTGACCCCTTCCATGTCCCCCCCAGGGCTTAGGGACTGGCCGAGCGCCCTGTTTGCTGTTGGGAAGTGCTTTGGGTCAGTGTCCGCAGTGTTCGTGCTCCTGCTGAGACGGGAGCCACCTTCCCCGACACATTAAGACCGTGGACCTGCCCCACATGATGCACGCCTGGGCTCATTTTTGAGGTTGCTCTGGTCCCTCCCCTTCATTTTGGGGGCTTGTCCGTACCCCCCACACTCCCCAGCTGGCATCTGCCTCCCACCAGCCCGCCTGGCCAGGGTCAGCCCTGCAGTCCTGGCCGCTCGGGGCTGCATTTTACTGCATTCAAGTAAAACTCCTTACCTCAAAGTAAACACCAAAGATGGGGAGCCCCTGCCTGCCCCCGCCCCGGGGCCCTGCTGCTGCCCTGAGAGGTTTGTGCTTTTCCCGCAGCTTTGCTCATGGCAGCCATGCTCGCCTCTAGCCGCGGGGCCGGCCAGGGATCGCCGCTTTCTCGGGGTGCCGCAACAGCCCTTTCCTAGTCCTGAACAGAGCAAGGCTCTCCCCTTCCCCAGACCCTCCTCTATTTAAAATATATCCCAGTCCACGCCGCTCGTGGAGAGGCCCTGGCTTCGCCCGTGTCCTGGTTCGTTCGCTCGGCGCTCGCCGAATTCTCGGCGAGGAGAGAAAGGGACGCCGGGAAAACCCATTTCAGAGAGGCTTAAACTCAGGAATAGCGAGGAGGAATTCTCCCGCTAGGCACCCTCCGCCAGCCACTTCTCCGCTGACACCCGGAGGCTTACCTGGTGGCTTTGACATTAATTTTAAAATATATGCAATTCTCCCTCCCTGATCTCTGGAAAGACAGAGAGCACCTTCAAGGAAGCCCTTCCCTGCCCCGATCCTGTGTTTTTGTCAGGGTTAATAATATGTAACAATATCTTTTAACTAAATTATTATGCAGTTGTCCTACTGATTGTATGTATTTTTAAATGAGTCCTTTTTTTTTCTTCCCTTACACCTTTTTGTTAGCACTTTTTAATCCGCTTGTTGTTTGCCTTTGTTTTTCTATGTGTATTTATAATTAATTGAGATGTATATATGTAAAGAGATTTTTTTAGAATATGTGCCTTTGACTAATAATTCCTGAATTTTCTACTTGCCTCAGAAGGATAATTTTTCATTCTGCTCAGTAAAAATGGAAAGGAAGCCACATACGAGATTTCTGTAAGTCCCAGCTCTCTGTCTGTCCGTCCGTCTGTCCAGAGGTGTAGACCTGCCCCAGGATCCCACCCGGGACTCTGATCAGGATAGGGAATCTGAGGGCCAGGGTCCTGCCAGCAGCTGGAGTTTATCTCCAGCTGTGTCACCAACTCGGTGGCTGTTGAGGGCTGCTGTCCCGAGCCAGGCAGGGTCCGTGCGGGGGAGGATCCTCCCCGGCGCTAGCCCAAGCACTGGCCTTCGACGAGGCTGCTCCTTCCCGGCTTCGCTGGGGAAAACACAGATAAAGGAGCCACTGTTCAGGCATGTTCCTCCAGCACGAGCCGTTGTTTATCTCCAGCTGTGTCACCAACTCGGTGGCTGTTGAGGGCTGCTGTCCCGAGCCAGGCAGGGTCCGTGCGGGGGAGGATCCTCCCCGGCGCTAGCCCAAGCACTGGCCTTCGACGAGGCTGCTCCTTCCCGGCTTCGCTGGGGAAAACACAGATAAAGGAGCCACTGTTCAGGCATGTTCCTCCAGCACGAGCCGTTGCTGTTTTGTCGCTTGGGGCTGCTGCGGCACGGGGACATCTCGCCCAGGCACTGCCGGCCCCGCTCTGTCCCTGCGGGAGGTGGGACGGTGGTGGGCCATGGGCGCTGGTAATGGAGGAGCAATTTGCACCTCGCCTTGTGCAAGCACGGCTGGGCGTTGCGGTGCTGCTGAGAGGGTTCATGGCGAGACGGAATGGGGCTGCGGGGCAGCTCCCGAAACCGGCCCGCCTACCCCAGGGGGGGCTGAGCGGTCAGGCAGGCTCGAGCAGGATCCTCCTGGCATCCTTGATGTGCTCCGACTTGTGGGGACCAGCAAGGACCCTGGGGCTCTTCCCCACTCCACCCTTGGCCCCGCATTGAGGACAGGGCTCCCCATGGGGGCCAGGGTGGTTGGGGGCTGTGGACGTTAAGGGGAGACCCAGCAGCTCCCCCAGACCCTGGGGAAAAGAGGCAAAGCAGCGCAGCAAGTCACCTGTGAAACACGAGCTCTCCCTGCCCACGGAGACGCTGACCCGCTCTGGACTTGGCCGTTCAAGGCTGTGCTTTTGCAAGCACCGACAAGCTGCAGCCGAGACTTCCCGAGGAGGATGGATGCAGCTGTGGTCAGACACGTCTCCAGCTACACGAGGTATTTCGCCGTGTCCCAACATGACTTGGTTTTGTTTTGCTGTAATTGCTTCTGGCCATGGCTTGTGCCACTGCTGGAACTGTCCCCTTTGCTGCCCTGCCAGGGCCAGGAGGGGTTTCGGGGCCAGGAGGGGTTTCGGGGCCAGGAGGGGTTTCGGGGCCAGGAGGGGTTTCGGGGCCAGGAGGGGGGCTGCTGAGTGCCCAGGCTTTGCC